TGAGGGGTACAAATTCTAATTTTTGAGGTACAAATTAGTACAATAGTACTAAATATTGGCATAGGTTTCAACTCGAAATCCATAGGTGCCGGGCACCATGTCCCTGGCCCGGCACTTTTACGAGCGTTATATCTCCGGTTCCTGAGGGGTACAAATTCTAATTTTTGAGGTACAAATTAGTACAATTGTACTAAATATTGGCATAGGTTTCAACTCGAAATTCCATAGGTGCCGGCCACCATGTCCCTGGCCGGCACTTTTACGAGCGTTATATCTCCGGTTCCTGAGGGGTACAAATTCTAATTTTTGAGGTACAAATTAGTACAAATTAGGTACTAAATATTGGCATAGGTTTCAACTCCAAATGCCATAGGTGCCGGGCTACCATGTCCCTGGCCCGGCACTTTTACGAGCGTTATATCTCCGGTTCCTGAGGGGTACAAATTCTACTTTTTGAGGTACAAATTAGTACAAATTAGGTACTAAATATTGGCATAGGTTTCGACTCGAAATTCCATAGGTGCCGGGCCACCATGTCCCTGGCCCGGCACTTTTACGAGCGTTATATCTCCGGTTCCTGAGGGGTACAAATTCTAATTTTTGAGGTACAAATTAGTACAAATTAGGTACTAAATATTGGCATAGGTTTCAACTCAAAATGCCATAGGTGCCGGGCCAGCGACATGCACCTGTTTTTTTTACTCAGGATAACATACACTTTCGTAATTTACAATCAAACCTTCGCCTGCGATCAGGTCGATTTTTGGACCCTGGCTCCAGGGCTATCATTAGAGATCCCAGTAAGGTTAGGCAGTGCTTGATGGTGGCCACAATAATTCTTTATATTTTACTGTTGTTATTTTTATTTATTACTGAATACACGCACCCACATACATACGTTAGACTTAATTCTATTAATTTCCAAATTGTCATTAATTAATTCTAGCACTAGATTAATAAATATCGCACAAAAACATTTGGAGGGCACAATGTAGTTAAACATAAATAATTCAATTTCAGTAACAAATATGTTGTTGGAAATTTAAGTGTACATTCAAAGGTAAAACGAAATACATGATTATCCAATGTCTGACTGTGTTGTTAACAGGAAGTGGAATAATAGGATTTTAAATGTGGATAAGGAAAGAGCATATTGGATTTGTAGAGTAAGAAATGAGGCCTGGTGAAGCAGGCCACAAAAGAGTTTTGAAATGAGCAGATCTGAAAAAAGGAGTATAAAGATCAGAGCGTAGAGATCTTTTGAAAAGGGAGGGGATAGAGGACTTGAATTGGAGATTTTGGGCATAGGACAGACACTAGTTGTGGATTATTTGGTAAAGGAATGTACCTAGGAAGTATTGTCAGCAGAAGACACCAAAGTGGTGGGAGACAGGAACATCTCAAAGTCTCACTGACAAATTCATTAATATTGGTCTGATTTTTACTTTCGCTTAAGTATATATGTAATATATAGTAAGATTAAGTACTGCGATCGTGAAAATTTTCGAATCTCAGTTTTCAACGGAAATACATGTTTTGAGGTTCCCTAAGTTCAAATAACCAAGTATCGCAAAATGGTCTGTGTTAACAGTCTAGCTCATAAACGAAAAGTAGTACGAAACTGATATTAAGTATTTAAGGTTTGTATATGGGCCGGATGTGACAGCTTATTAAATCCGGAACTATCGGATCCTGCGTTTTTAAGCCCAATACTATTTTCGAGATAACACAAGGCATAGGGTTCGCATCCCTATACAACCTGACGTTAATTGTAGTACTGTCATTGAATACATGTCTCATTTCGTCGATTTGAGGTCTCTATGATTGAGAGAGGGGAGTTTATATTATTTATCGATGGGGTTTTTGATCGGCAAGCCATATCATCGTTAATTTTTCACCAAATCTCAAGATTGAGCCACCAATTTCGAAGGCTTCCTTCTCCTTCAGGCTGGCAAAATAGTCCAATCATCTCGAAAATTCAGGCAAACAAGTTATAAAAGAAAACAAAATTTATTTGCGAATAACTAAAAAATGACACACTTTTCTCTTAGTTATGTCCATGGTTATATAAAAGATTACTAAATTCCTTGCAAAAAAAAAAATCATCGGAATCTTACAATTTTTCGCAATCAAATTAATTTTTGTTTTCTTTGTCGATTATATTTATGGATATCGTAACATTTGATTTCTTTATCTTTTGATACGTTGCATTATTTTCTTTTCTTATTAATTTGGCATTTCATAACAAGATGCTGTGCGAATTTTTCGCACGGGCCTACTAGTATAAAAATATTTCATAGATACGTTTATAACCTTAAATAAATTTACTGTAGTTTAATAACTCTAGATCTGATATTATATTTAAATATTTAGGTATCTATCGTCCGTTTATTCCGAAAAATCAAGTAACCTTTTAGAAAATTAAATTAGTGTATAATTTTATAAATTTTCGCTTTGCGATATTCCGACAGAATCCACTTACAATTAGTGTGATAACTTTTGATCTGTCTAAGACAGACAATGCAAATCCCTTAATTCCGTTTTAATAAACTTTGAAATGGAAATTTACAGTTTAATAACTAAAAGTCGTGCAATCCTTAATCAACGGGCACGGGAGGATCTACGGGGGGGGGGAGAGGAGGGGCTTTCGGACTGAAACTCCTCCCCCCAAAATGGTAATATATAAGCATGTTTTATAGAAAAAAATATTAAAAACTATCTCTTAAACTATTATTGTTCGTTTAAATTTAATAAGACTTCAATAATCACTAAGACACCATGTCATATGGGTAGTTAGTTTCTTTCTTCTTTCTTTTTTCAAATTAATTATAGTTATATATATGAAAAAAAAAATTCTTCGTGCTGGAGCCCTCCCCAAATTAAATCCTGGATCTGCTAGTGTCAACAGGTGATATAATAAATAGGACTATTGTTATTTTATTAGTATTTATGATTTGTTAGCTGCAATCTTTTAGCTTTAGCTCAGTTAAAAATGCAATTCAAGAATTTTATAATAGCACAACATGGCCAGAAAATAATTTCTATTTAAAGATGAGCTCAGTAAAAAAGACTAAATGAAAGTTGTGTGTTGCGTGCATTACATTTTTTTAAATGACACTCAACTTTCTTTGTTCCTAGTAGGAACTTAAGAGCTTATTTATTAGAAGGATTTATATATACTAGTAGGCCCGTGCGAAAAATTCGCACAGCATATAGTTATCAAATGAAAAATAAATAAGAAAATAAAATAATGCAAAGTATCAAACGATTTAGACATCAAATGTTACTTTATCGATAAATATAATCCACAAAGCAAACAAAAATTAATTTAAATCTTCATTTTTGTTTGGAACCAACATGTTTCCAACCAACATGTTCAGTAAGCAGTATCTTTGCTAAAAATTGTCCGATTTTAGTAATCTTTTATATCATCATGGGCATAACCAAGGGAAAAGTGTGTAATTTTTCAGTTATTCGCAAATAAACTTTATTTTCTTTCATAACTCGTTTGCCTGAATTTTCTGGGTGATTGGACTATTTTGCCAGCCTGAAGGAGAAGGAATACTTCGAAATTGGTGGCTCAATCTTGAGATTTGGTGAAAAATTAACGATGATATGGCTTGCCGCTCACCATCATAAATAATACAACACCATCGATAAATAATACAAACTCCCCCTCTCTCGATCATAGAGAGCTCAAGTCGACGAGATGAGACATGTATTCAATGACAGTACTACAATTAATGTAAGGTTCTGTGGATGCGTTAGATGCCTTGCGTTATCTCGAAAACAGTACGTTTTTGGGCTTAAAAACGCAGGATCCGATAGTTCCCGAGGAACTATCTGGGTCTTGCTGTACGCATCAAAATCTTCCAGATCCACTTTGTCCCGTATCGATCTACAGACTTACCACCGTTCCAGTATTGAAGCCTAGCAAAATGTTTGTATCGACTTTATTTATTTTAGAAAGAAAAACAACAGTCGAGAATACGATTCACTAACCCCCCGTGAAATTCTGAATCCAACGGTACCCCATTCATGGTATTTGAACATGACAGGAGCTTATATTTGGTACAAAACCGATCTCGAAACTTACTGTAATAATATATGTACGGATGTATTTATATTTTTTTTTTTCTTCTCAGAAGTGAGTATGTATACTGTTTTAGATGTTGATTAGATGGATTTGGATTTTTTATATTGTAATTGTTTTGTTTATCATTATATTTCTTTTATATATAGCTAATTTACTTAAAGTTTTCTTCTAATTTTATTTATTGTATTAAACCTTTAGGCCATGAGTAATCTTTTCTTTGTGTACAATTTTGTTAGTCTTAAGGGACTTTGTCCTAGAACAAACTTATTTTCTATCTATCTAAAGGGAGCCTGTGGGTTAAATCTCTCTGCTTGTCAATAGAATTATTTCTTCTTTGTTATGCAGACTTTGGACACACCACTGGTATTGAAAACTTTCATCTTTTAAGGCGTATAATTAAAAATTTATTTTGAGAGCAAACTGTAAACTGAATTATATTAATGGAATATCTAGAGACCATTGTCAATTTAATCTGTAAAAAACTAGTTTCTAGATCAGGGTAGATTGGACAGAAGTGACTATTGGCAGTTAACTACTTTTTTGGAAGAACAGAATGGAGTGTATAATTGAGTCATTTCCCAACAGCTTCTGAGATTATGTTATCAAGAAGAGTTATAAAAATGAAGTCAGATATATTTATTATTAGAAATGATTGTACTAATAAGTTATTAATTTAAAATCGGAGATAAATTTTCAATTCTTAAAATAATATGCCATATTTTTTTGATCATATAATATAATACAAACCATCACTCACTTGATATTCAATGGTTAACATTTTATAGTAGACATAGGTACTGGTGGGGAAATTCGCTCCCTAAAGGTTGCTGCAGTATACTAACCAGAGAGAGTTGAGTTTCATTAACCACGGTCACCGAGGAATAAATAATAACTGGCTCTGGTGGGAATCGAAGCCACAATTAATAAATTTTGAAGTTATTAGGGTAGACTTTGAGACCTAGATCACAAAGGGACCAGTACAAGATGTGCAAAAAAAAAAAAGTGTACTGGACTTAATTTTAATAAGAGGAAAGACAAGATAACAACCAAATAAAACATGTTGGCAAGAAAATAACCAGATATTAATAAAGATAAAGACAAAGAAATAAAATATATATACATATAATATCTATTAATAAATAAATAATAAGTGAATAAAAATTATGTTGTGTAAGACAAAATAAAATGTGAGGAAGGACCCAAAAGTAATGGGAATCGGGGCACAGCGGGGACACATTTCCTTAGTGTGCGAAGTTGTGTCGCTGTGAGTGCAGATTAGAATTATTTTAGTGAAACCACTTTTTCCATTTCACCGAAAACGTGATAGGCGATTATCGAGAGCAACAGCTGTGAAATTTTGTTTCCTGTTGAGGATTTTAAAAATGGAGAAATGTCAATTAAAGACCAACCCTTAACAGGACGCCCCTCAACGTCAAGAAGTGACGAAACCATTCAACTCTGCGAGATGTCTGTAATATCATGGAGTTCAACACAGAGGATTTTATCCGAAGACTGGCACATGAGAAGAGTTGCAGCCAAATTTGTCCCTCGCCTTCAGGCATGTTTTGAGCTTCAAAGTCAGCTCAAAGTGGACCCCGATTTTTTTTCCCAAGGTGATTACTGATGCTGAATCGTGGTGCTAAGGGAAAAAACCCAAAACAAAGTGACAATCAAGCCAGCTGGCTCCACTCGTTCCAATTGAAGTCAGGCATCAAGACGATGCTAATTTGTTTCTTCGATTGCAGAGGTATTGTGCACGCGGAGTTCATTCCCCCGGCTCAAACTGTCAACCATAAGTTCTACTTGGAGGTTTTAAAAAGATTGAGGGAAAGAATCCAGAAGAAATGGACAGATCTTGGGAGCTCAGGCGACTGGTTGTTCCATCATGACAACTAGCAAGTCTCACCGCCCTCTCCGTAAAGAAATTTTTGACAAAAAACGGGATGATACCGATTTTTCACCAGACTCAAAAGGGACACGACAGGCAAATGTTTAGCCACTATCAAGGAGGTAAAAAAAAAATCGCTGGAAGGCCTAGAGAAGATCCCGATAAGTGAATTAAAAAAATGTGTTGAACAATGGAAGGATCGTTTGGAGAGGTGCGTTGTGGTCAAGGGAGAATACTTCGAAGGCGATCAAAATTTGGTGTAAAAATATTAAGCAATAAGGAAGCTATGACGAAATTCCGTTTTTTGTGTGTTCCCCCTCTTATATAATGGCGAGGCATGAAAAATATTATAAGCAGTACACTTTAAAATAATATAAGAGGACATAGGAGTCAGTGATATAGTGAACAAATAATTAGACTTAAACCTAAAACTGATTAGACAAAATAAGTAGTAAAAAATAGTAATAATAATTAATGAATGGACAATATCGCTAATGTTAGTGCGAAAAAAGTCGTATGTAAAATTGGAGTATTTTACAGAGTTTTTAAAAACTTATATCTCTATGATTTGTTACCATAATTTCTTATTTTATTTCCCACTACTATTTTACATATTAGTAGACTACTTATGGATTTACTCCATAACTTCCTATTTGATTTTTAAATGTCTTAAATATAACATATTTTTCACTCATTAATTACTAATTTTATTTTTCACTGCTTATTTTCACTAGTCAAATTTTTTCTCATTACTTAGACATGGTAGCCTAATATATCGAACAGTTTCATGTATTATCATGGAGTACATTAGCCTTCAACTTTTAAAAAATTAACTACTTATACTTATTTAACACCAACATAATTTTTATTCACTACTTAGTTTTAATTTATTAGTACACAGCATACACACACACATAAACTATTTTCTCAGCGATACGTAAATATAAAATCCCAATCATATCGTCTACAGTAAACTATTTAACCACCATTCTAATAGTTTAAATTGTAGTGTAATGAGTTTAAAAATATAATTAAAATTTTTACGATATAATAAAGATTAATATTCTTGATCTGAGCCATGAAGAACAATTTGTTTTTTAAGGATGAAAAATTGTCAGGAATTGTCATGAAATCATGAAAATTGTCATGAAAAATTGTCCAGTCAAAAATTTCTTTATTAAGTTTGTCAACGTTTTGACCCAAACATATGGGTCATCGAGAGAACTCAAAATTATTATTCGGCCATCAAATCATTGATGATGACCCACATGTTTGGGTTGAAATGTTGGCAAACTCAATAAAGAAATATTTGATTGCACACATCTCTATAATTTCTACATTCAACGATATATCCCTAAATAAATTGTTTATATCATGCAACCTTTCCCCCTTTCCTTTATGCACTGCATATTATGAGAAGTTCATCCCACTGCGTATAGTGAAAGAGCATTATATAAGCAAATCTGTATCTATTGAGTTTTTATTTATACAAAAAAAAAATTATTTTAAATAAAAATTCCAAATTCTGGACTGATTACTAACTAACCTCATAGAGGTAAAACTTAATCCTCATGAACATGCCTCTAATAAATAGAGAAACTGTAATGTAATACGTATCTAACTGGAAATTAAGAACAAGTTCATTAAATCCGTAAAATAAATCAAATTCTTTTTATTTGAAATTCCATTCTTTTAATTAAATACAATCCAATTTTACTTCTTTATTATTTTTAATTTTTTTTTTTTTCTTTAACTTAGAATATATATTGTGCTTTAATATCTAAATTTTAAGTAATATTTTTTTTCTTAAATTTTTACAATGTCTGTAATGTTCATACATATAATATAAAAATTTCCTAATAAAATTTACACTAAAATATCCCTAGGCGTTGATAGGTTGGATTTACTCTAACATACATACATAAATTATGTACAAGTTCCAACTTCCATTATAAATAAAATTAAAAAAAAAAAAAAAACTAAATAAAACTTTTAACAAAATTTGCATCCAATCCTTACAATGAGGATTTTGACACAATAAATAAAACAATAAATAGATAATAAAACTTTATAAATAACATCCTACTACCACGTAGTACACTTTTCTACTTTTACCAGATGAGAATTTGAAATGTATAAAAATGCCACACTAAGTATTACATTCTTTTTTTTTTTTAAATTAAAAATTACATTATACATTAAATTATAAAACAACACACTATACAATGGATCAACATCATTGCCTTCAAATACCTACCCGGTCGTTCTAACTATCTAACAGGCTTTTTACCGAATCTCGAATAAATTTTCTTGCAAACTGTTATATAATTTTTTTCTTCGTTTTTTTTTCTTTTCTTTTTTTTTACACAAATATTCTAGGTCTTCCCACATAGGGGTAATAAACTTAGACAGAAAGACGTTTTATCATAAAAATAAATCTTGTACAGAAAGTCAAAAAAAAAAACATTCAATACTTTTAGATGATAAATTTGTGTGTGTATATACACACACAACATATTTTTACACAGTATAATAGTCAACCAAAGAGAACTTTCATATCGTTAAAAAACATAATCTGGACCTGCCATGTCAATAGCCCATCGGAATTTGTCACGTTGTGTTTTGTTATAGATTTTCTCAATTGGTACGTTGTACTTTTTGCACCTGAAAAAAAAAAAGAAGAAAAGAATGAAATTAGTAAATCTAGGTACATCTATTTATACATATCTGTAGCTTGGAGGTATAGCAGACAATGTCACATTCTTTATCTTTACACGAGACCAATTTGAACAGGTGTTTACTTAAAATATCTCTATATATGGGGTAAAGCAAAAAGTTTTCAAATAATTCTTAATAGATGAAAAATGGAAACAGCGTTCTATAACTTCAAGGTACACATATACTTTCAAATATATAATATAAATAAATTTGTCTATTAGTAGTGTTGATTATCTGTTGAAAGAAGACAGCAATGAAATGATTTACATTTTTTGTTTTTGATAGTTTTAAGTTCTTCTCAGACATCAAAATCTTGATAATCTCCCTTTTTTTATGTTAAAACATCCTCACTGACTAATATATTATTTTATGTTTTCATCATACTCTTTTTATTTTATAAAATAATGTTTTTCTTTAATAAATTATGTTGTAGGTATAAAATAAATATTAATTAGATCAAGCGAGGAAAAGGTGGTTGAAGAGGAGAGCTTTGAACGAGGAAACTGTTGAAGCACGGTGAATGATAAGTGGGATAGAGTTCCAGAAGGAGACAGTTCAGATGAGTAAGGATTTGTCTAATGCAGCAGTTCAGTGAGGAGGAAGGTAGAAGTCAGAAGGAAGAGATCAGGTGGGACAGGATTTGATGGATAATTTAAATTGCAAGCTCTGTAGTATGTACAATGGGCGCTGAGTTCTGACTAACCGATATAAGAAGGGCAAAAGGAAATACTGTGAGATGAGTAGAGCCATTTTAGCTTGACATAATATTGGGTTATTCGCTTATCTCTGGCGACCACGAAACAAATCTAACTAAGCAATTTGTAAGCTGTTAAAGTCTTGCTACAACACCACCAGAGTCTTCTGTACACCAGAAAGGCGTAATCAAAGTGGGAGAACGCATGAGATGAAACCAGTTGTCGGGTTTCAAGAATTGTTAGAGGACTGATACAATCCGGCAAGAAATTTGGGAGATATGTTGTTTCCATGAGAGGGTCAAAGGGGACTCCAAGGTTTTTCAACTGAGGTGTGAAATGAGATGGGAGTGTTGTTCAGGGTAAGGTTAGGCTGTCGGAGAAAGAATTTAAGGAGTGAAGAGGATCATGATGGCTTTGGTCTTTTCTGAAGAAGATAGACTTAAATTTCTCGATTTGTGTTATTTTCTTGGGTTATGTTAAAGCAGAGGTCTCCAAACTTTGGCCTATGGGCCAGAGATCCCGCCCACAAAAGTTTCTTTGATTACACAGTGAAATTTTAAAAATGTCAGATTTGGTAAATCGCTCAAACATGTTACTATAACATTTCTCACATATGTTGTTTCTCTTATAATCCTCATATACAACTGATATTTTTTTCCATCACAAGCCATGCCTGCGGGACTTCATGGAGGGCAAAATGTTTGGAGACCCATACGTTAAGGAATTATTGTATTAATTTATTCAACTTGTCTGTAAGAACAAAATGATTATTATTGACTAAAGACACATGAATTGAACCTTAAGAAATTTGAGAATTTTTATTTATGATGCCTTCCTCAAATATTTTTATGGTGAAATGCTATCTATATAAATAAACAAGTAAGGAGTTTAATGTAAAAATCTATTAGCAGTCTATCATTCCTTTAATCAAGGATATGTTATCCATCAAATAATAAACAGATGTTACTTACCAAGCGACCGATATCCTAGGGTCAAGATAATTCAGCTTGGAGGTACTCAGGGCTATCGTCTTGTTCTCTTCCCTGTCAGTCTCTTGCACTTCCAACTTAGTAAGTTGTTCTCGTAACCGATCAAGTGCCTTCTTTTTCTTATCCGCTACTATCCTCTCTTTAGCAGAACCATTCTTTGCGTCCTTCTTAGCGTATTTATACTGCTTCTCAGCTTCTTCTATCTGATCCTTTTTAGCCGATATCTTCTCCTTAAGCTTTTCCATGGAGTTTTGATGTGTTTTAGGAACGGAACGCTGATGGTTACAAAGAATGGCAACAGCTCTATTGGCTCTGTTGTAAGCTAAAACCTTTAAAAGAAAAACAAAAATAATTAAAATAAATGATAAACACATATTCTATTTATTGAAAAATAATGAACAACATAAAAGGATATCTCAAGTTATTTACAAAATTAAAAACACAAAATATATTAAAGAAAAAGTTAATTTCAAAATAAGTGTTTTTAAAAAAGACAGAGAAAAATTATAGAACTAAAATAAATCAGCATGGGTCATTACATCTTTAAAAAACAAAAATCCTGGACCACTATCAGCCATGGAGGGTCTTGGATCCAGCCAGCACTTTGTAAGCAAGTAATTTTTTTTTCTTTTTTCAAGTTGTGCTAAGAGGTTGTTGAAGGTTTACAGACAATTAACGTGTTGTTAAATGACAGGCATCCACTTTATAGAGGCAGGGTAGGCGCTTAGAGGTTCTCGGACCACCTAACCACCCCATGGCACATGTAACAGAATAAATGACTATCTTGCCATAGCTCAACTTGAAGACGGACTCAGGAGATAGGAGCATAGTGCATTACTTGGCTAATTTTGCTTCTAAAACAACATTATCGAAGCCCAGATTTTTATGCAATTTTTTTATTTTATTTTGCATCTCTAATAATAAATGCATAATTTGATTATTTCAATCAGATTTTTAACAAAATAGAAATAAACACCAGGAATAAATAAATAAACGCAACATCAGAGAAGGAATTCCAAATTACAATCATAAAATTTTTCTCTGCCTACATTTTGGAGACATAAAGCTGGGGTGCTTTGGAATTTTTTCAATTAGAACCTAACGTAAATTAATTGATAAATGCAGTAATTTTGTTCAATTACTTGTATTGGTTTATGAAAAAAGAAAAAAAAAAGTTTTTATTTAATGTTTAGGGTAAGCGCACTAGTAATGGACATGGCTAAGAAATTTGTTGGTTTATGCCGCCGTAATTATTATAGTTATAAACTAGAATCTCTAGCCTCTCCTTTTTCTATTTGACACTTTAAAATTGAAAAAAATATTCAGATATGCAGGTATAATCTCCATTTAAAAAAAGCACATTTTTGCACTAGCGATGGACACGCTGAAATCCAGTTGTTCTAGTAGTGAAAAGGAGATCGCTACCAGTAATGGACATACCTCAGAAAAATTCTAAAATATTTATTCAACTATAAAGATAAGAGAACATAAATGTTCAACTTAGTCTTAGCAAAACTGTTAGTAGAAAGGTATGAAACACACTGATCTCAAGAGCACTATAGAAACAACAATGATAGACATTTTAAAATTTTCTTTTGGAAACTTTGTTCGTACAGTTGTCAATAGAGGGCATTGTTCTTCAATATAGAAAAATCTGGAACCTTTAACTCATCAAGGAAGCTTATTATTTACATTTAAAGTGCAATCTGTCCATCTCTAAGAATAAAGGCTCCCTGACAAACTTTTCAACAAAAGAGTTCGTTAGATCCATGGGCCAATGCTGAACAGAATAGGAATTCAAGGCCAATTTAGTATTTTTTAGTATTAGTATTTAGTATAGTTAGACACATTTTTTTTATTGAATAAGAAGGAATTGCTCAAAAACTTTTCAATATAACTAAATTCAAAGTACATTATGATAAAGTAGACAAAATTTTCTTAGAGAAAGCAGTGATAAAATTAAAGCCGTTCTGTTGATGTTAGATAAGAATGCTGAACAAAGATCATAAGTAAGATGCATTTTTGTAAACATAAATATTGATCTTCACGTCACCTGCAATAACACCTTCACTTTCTATTAATTTACTGTAGTTTGACTTTGCTATCCTTCTACCATTATTGTTTCCCAGCATTAATTAATGAAAGATATTAAACGATTATCTGACACCCTAAAGGTTCAAAACCCACGAATTAACATTCTTTTCTCTTAAAAAATGGTTTAATAACTTAATAAGTGATAAATCTCCGATTAATCAAGAAACGCATCTTTGCGTTAGTAGACCTGAAAGCCCTTATATTATTTATGTTAGTTAATTTAATCACTGTTTTCTCAGAGAATATTTTTCCATTTTGCATTAATGTACTTAAAATTTATACAATTATAAAATAGCTAAAATAATAAATTAATTAAAAAAGTAATATTGGTAAAGTAAATTTGTTTATAACATTATTTTTGCTAATATCAGAATATCAATAAATTAAATATAATTGGTGGATTGTAAGAGGACTAACCATCTCTGGAACTGTGTAGTTAGGGTCCGTGAGCTCCTTCAATTGTTGTTGCAATGTCCAGGAAGCATTGTAAGTACGGAACACCTTTGCAGTTAATCCTTCCATCAGCTCATTCAGATGTTTGTTTAAAATACTAGTCTGTAAAGCAAAAATATATATAATAATAATGACCATAAGAAAATAAGAATCACACACACAAAAAAAAAAAATTAATGATACTTACATTGAGCCTATCAAAGAGATCGTCGCTTCCCTTCTTCCCTTCCATGAACAGTTGTAAGTTCTTAAAAACCCTCTTTTCTATCGGAACTTCATTATAATATCGGATAGAGTCTTTACCAAGGAAGTCAAATACTACAACGTACTCCTTACCTATAAATACACACAATAATATCAATTAATACTAAAAAAAGTTCTCGATATCAACATTTAACTTTCAAAATTCAGAATAAAATTTATGTCTCAAGTTATTGCTTGATAGAGCTAAGAATACAACATATCCCTACGATGGCAGAATAAGATTAAGAGATAATAACCATAACACAGACATACTGTCACTATGGCAGCAGTGTATTATAATACTACTAGCTGACCCATGCGAATACTCCACACAAACCTAATATTTGTAACTGATTTTAATACATTAAGGGCTCAGCACAACTTCCATTCAATAATGTTTGATAGGCAAAGGTTTAATACATATATGTAGTAAGCCATCACTTATAAACATTATTAACAATGCGCCATGGTTTAACCATTGCATTTCCTTAAACTTATAATTTAAATAATAGCTTTTTTCTCTCATTAGATTATCATAAATTTAAAAAAGCTTCTCTATAACGCTTTAAATATCTATCTATATAATAAGCTTTAAACATCTGATGACGCAAATGACAAAAAAACTCGAATTCTCAGGGCGAAATAGTAGGAGCAGTCAGGATGTACATTACTTTCTCATTAAAAAAAACTTGATAGCGTATTTTTAAAATGACAAACTTCAACAATAAAGATCTAAAAGAAAAAGCTAAAGTAATTGAAGCATATTGACAAACATTCCAAGAATGTTTTAAGGAAGACACATTTATACAAATAAATAACTATTTTATTAATTAAAAAGAATAAAATGTTTTGAAATTAAAAATATTACTAATTGATGCATTACATACTGTACTGTACTCTGGATAAAAAGGGCCAATTCCCATATACAATAGAAACTTTGCAGTACAACAAATACTAAATGTTCAGAATGCTCTAACTCTACACCACATCGTCCAATTTCGATGATTTTTTAAAAAATGTTTTGTAGTTAATTTGCTAAGCTTTCAAATACTCATATATATAGTGGACCAGAAAATGTGTACTTTTCGATTTATTCATTAATTAAGAATTCATTCGCAACGTATCGATTCGCTGAGTGTTATACGGTTCGAAACCTCCCACTTTTTCTATACGGTTCGAAACCTCCCACTTTTTCTTAAGTCCTGGTATAAAATTAGGAATCAAAATTACGATTCGCGCACTCTACGTGATATTCCTTTTCTATTGATACCTCACTCATCAAAATCCATCACTCCTGAGAGCCGGGAAAGGGATATATATTTGAGAAATAATATATAAGAAAGAAGATAAGATTAATTAAAATTATGAGTATTTTTAACATGTTGACCACTACAGTGCTTTTGAAATTCCAAAGCCAATTGAATTTAATTATTATATATTTTTAATTTTTAATGCATAGTTATTATCAGAAAATACTATTTCATCATAATTAAAAAATAAAATAAAACTTGTGAAATTATAAAAGCCTTTTTTTTCTGAGTACATCTTAAAACAGCTCATCAAAAATGTTAAATTTTTTTTTTAATTAACCACTTTGCAGAACCAAAAAATAATTCCGACGTTTCACTTACCATCTTTTTCATTGTGAAGTGTGATATGTTCTACCCTAAGAGAACAGCAACCTACAGTGTCGGCTTGATCTTCATCTTTTTCGTTACCCGCTCTCAAGGCCAACTAAAAACATTAAAATAAAAGTTTAATTTAACAGCGATTAATATTATCAGCGGTAATAAATATTATTAATATTATCTATCCTGTGAGGAAAAAGTTACAATAAATAGACAAATTATAATTAACAAAACAAAACAAAAATTTAACTTTAACATTTGTGTTAGTAAATATCTTCCTTTTTGTTCACCAGATTTTCTAGTAAAATATTATATGAAGAGCAAATTTCTATGGATTTCCTTTCAAACAGGTTTGTCTTCTACTTTTATCTTAGTATTCTTTTTATTTTCCTTATTCTCATTACTTTTTTTTACATATCCCTGGCTTAATTTGGTGTATATTGATACATTTATTCATTACATCTTATTTTCATAATTCACATTATTTTAAGTTCTTAATTCTCTTCTATGAAGTCAGTATGTCTTGAAAGATTATAAAGTATCTTAATTTTTCTATTTACATCTATCATTTTCTTTATATAACTTCATATTTGGAAGACAAAACGTCGGCAAAAATAAAATCATTTATCTATTTTTACTTTTTATTTTTTACTGAACACACCAACCAAATTCTCTTCAATAAAATGTGCATCTTGTTTTTATTCATTAGGTTGTAATAACTAATAAAATATTATTTAGTTTTTTGTTTTTTTTTGCAAGCCGAACAATGGAAAAAATAAGCCCTACTATGTACCTGCTAGCCAAAATTTTTATAAGTAGTTCTGTTCTATAAGGACTTAAAATTATTTCCGTATATAACAAAAGAAAAAAAAAAAATCCTCAATTTTTATATTCAAATAAATATGGTAAGTAAATCAGAATATAATTCCAATATATAAGCATACAATATAGAATAAATTAATAAAAGCTACTAACTATGTCAATAAAATACATGGCGACGGCCCTTTGACGGATCCTCATTTCCTTTGACTTCCAATCTTCTCTGTAATCCTTTCTTATTTTATCGATAGAATGAGCCAGCTTCCTCGCTGTCTCATACTTCTGCCAATCCTTCTCGCCCTTCAACTTGGACGATGGGTTCAACATCACATATTTCACCTGGCCTTGAACATTTTCAGTCCAACTGGCCAGCCAAGTCACCTGAAAACAGATCAAATTGAATTAGACCTATACATTTTTCAAAATAGAAAAAAAAATGAACTTATTTGATAGTTCTGCGACTCAAAAATTACTAAAATATGTACTAAACTAATTTTTAAGAGTAATATGTCATTTTTTTTTTTTTTAACAATTAATAAAAAACTAATTCTGTTATTAAATGTATTCATTACATACATCAGATCTAAACATTTTTAGATTCTCTACATATTCTAAATAAAAAAAATATGTTCTAATACCAGTAAACAAAACACAATTGGGTACTTTCTAAAAAATATCACATAAATTTGAAATGCAATAAATTTAAGCGATAAAAAATTTATAAATAGTTTAAAAAAGGTTCATAATCAGCTAAAATCTTTAAATAACAGTGCATCTAGGAAGTGACGGGAGGACTGGGGTGGTGTGACTATATTGCATTGTAGTGTGACACATACAGCTGCCGAAGACAAAGCCATCAAAGTGTCTCTCAGCTCTAATTTATGAAAGTTGATAAAATACATTTTTTTCTAAATAAATTTAATCAAAGACGACAGAGTAAGAGAAAAACATGGAAAAATATTTCTTGTATTGAAGTTTTTTAGCTGGAAACATTAGTAAAATTAATAAGACCATCAACAGTATACGATAGGCGCTGACAGGCCATGACCTAGCCAAGTCTCCATTGTCCTGACTAGCTCGCCCCCACCACTTTTCTTTGACACTGATTATCTTTCTAAGGCATCAGAAAAATTTAGGACTTTTTGCGTTGTTGCTATTATTATAGCCTAATCATCATCGATAAATAAACATTGAAAACTCGTGTAAGTAGCTAATTCAAATTATAAATTAAAACATGTGAAACTACATAAAATAATTAATAAAGATCTCTCCAACTAACCGTGTTATCATGTCGCACTTCTTTCCATTTGTGGCCCTCGGGTGGTTTTGGGATCTTTGAATCCTTGCTGCAATTGATAAGTACATCCTCTGGCTGCACTCTCCTCTTCAACATCCCCATCTTGGGATGCTCCCCTCGGCCTCTGAACAGGCTAGGAGGTTCAATTTTGAAGTTTCCAATCTTTTCTTTATGTCCATCGATTATGCAGAAGCCGTATTCTTTCACCATTTCTTCATTTTTCTCCTTTAAGACCTAAAACCATATTTAAAAAAAAAAAAAAAAAATCACTAAAAGTATCAATTGATAATTTAAAAAAATTATAAATATTAGGAGGGTAACCCCTGTCGCTGTCCACCTTACGGTTACGGCGGACCAACCCCCCTTTCACAAATTGTATTAAGGTAATTCATATGCATTCTGTATCAGATTGTGTTATTTTATCAATACAAAATAAACTGAATATTCCAAGTACTCAGAAATAAATTAAATTTTTTCTCTACAATTTTGATATAAACAAGGGGGTTACCGCTTGTCCGCTTGATGGCCGACCAGCCCCTATTTTACCAATTATGCAACTGTTCATTTAATTTTACCACTCCTTGCTCAAATTTTATAACTTTAATTTACATGCATCCTATAATTCAGGTTGTATTATGTTTTATCAATATATAAAATAAATTGAATGAAACCATGGACAAATTTTCAATTCCTTCGGCAATTCAATGTTCAATTCGTGCAAATTTTTAGTTTCTTCAAAAATCTATATTGTACATTGTAACTTATTGTCAATTAATATTATTATGTAATTATAATTATTTGTAGTGCCAATTCGTAACCACAATATATATTTAACTTGTTCAGCTTAATTTAAGCCTTTTATTACTAATATTTTGAATGTACATTATATTGGTGATTCCTTTTCTATTTCATAATAATTATAATTATATTACAATATAATATAAATAAGATAATATATAATATAATAATTAATATATTGCATTCATGAGGAAAATGACTAGATTGAAAAAAAATAACTGTTGTCCCCTGGATAAAATCGAACTACCACCTCCAGATTAATGCCATTTTCCGTACAAATTTTTGGTATAAAATCTTTATTTTGTATTGGGAGAGTATGAGGTTATAGGAGCCCAATACCATAACAAAGACATTAGGGTGTAAATCTCTTTTTGGTACTAGGAGCTTACACGAGCTCAAAACATGTAATTGAATGAACAGCTGTATAATTAGTGCTAATTTTAGAACTAAAAGGAGAGTTTCTATGATCACCCTGCTCTACTATTACTAATATAAAATAAAATACAAAAGTCACTAAAAACATTTATAGAGAAATAACGATTAAAAGTGAATAAGAAAAATGAAATTTGACAAATAGAATTCAGTACTTTTGAAATATTTGTTTGGAAAGTATATTTTAAAATACATTAGTCTAGATAGATTCCTAAACATTTTCAACATTTATTACCAACCACCACAATAACACTAATCATCTTATTTCTAGACATGAAAATAAAATCTTCAAAAAAATATCAACAATTTACCTTTTTCTCCTCCTTGCTCATAGCCTTCCGTTCTTCTGATTTCTTCAGGAAGTAGGAATTGATCTGTTTAAAATTACACTTTTTCAAATCGGTGATGATATCCTTTTCCTTCTGTGTCATAACTTTACGCCAATCTTTAAAAAAGTTTTTATTGAATGCTTCTTTAGTAGTATATTCATGCTCAATCATTCGGCCGTAGAAGGTAGCAACTTCTTCAGCTTCTTCTGACAGTCTCATCTCTTTACCTACAAAAAAAAAAAAATGATGAAAGTTATATTCAAATAACTTCTCTACAAAATCTTAATGATGTAGATTATATAAAATTATAAAACATTAAAAAAATTTATATAACTATAGCAACACGATCAGCAGCTGTCTGTGAACAGGCAAATACAGCTTAACTTAAATTATCAAATAGAAAAGGAAAAAACATACATTTTTATTATTATATATTCTTTAACTATTGGCAAGTATAAATAATTATGCTCACACGCGCACGCACACGCGCGCGCACACACACACACACACACACACACACACACAATAAATATCTTCTTTTTTTGTTAGAAAGCTGTTTAAATTACTATGTTATTGGCAATAAAAACTTCTAATATATAAAATAAATAGTTTATTTTCGTAAATAATTTTATTTTATTTTCGGAATGAATAAAATAAATAATTCATTCCGAGATACAATTCTCATCTTCAGAACTTTATCCTCATTTTTCATAAGCAATTAATAGTTTTTACTATACATAAAAGTAATATCTGGAGCAACACATTTATGGGACTAATAATTGGGTGTCTGTTAGCTTGACATTTTTATTGCCAACAATATAGTAATATATAATAAAAATACTTTATATATACACACACATATATATTTATATAAATGTTTACGTACTTCTTGCTAATTTATGGGAATAATTTAAAAACAAGAGTATAAATACTCAATGATATATTTGGATGGGTTTTGAAAACAGTGGTATAACCTAAAATTAATTTGGTTGAAATTGAAAATTGCAAGCTGTTGAGGACTGGAGCGTTTAGGATCCCTAATACGACACGGAGCTGAAACAGTTGGTGCTACTACATTATTTCACCATTCTGAAAAACCCCTAAGATGACTTACGGATAGGTAGAGGAAGTCATAAGGTGAGACAAAACTTATAATACAAGAGAGCTTCTAGCAATAACAGAAGGTAAAGGGAATAATTACTCTTCTTCAATTTCATCTATTAAATAAATAAGCGACTACATTTAATGAAAAAAAAAAATATTATTTTACAATTATCACCTATCTTATATGCATATCATTTCATTTCTCACTTTGATACTAAAAACAATCAAGTAAAATAAAAAAAATTAATTGTTTTTCCCATTATCATTCATGACATTAATGATCTTTTCATTGCCCATAACTTTTTAAATATTAACCTAATCAAAGACAAAATAATTATTTTAAAATAAAGTTTTTTTTATAAAATAAAATATTAGGCCAAAGGTCACCAAATGTACACAGTTTTTGCATAATGTATTTGGTGTATTTGCATGTATACATATATATATCATGTATTTGCATCATGTATTTTATTTCATCAATGCACCGCTTCATAAAATTTTCTAAAATAAAATTATATAGTAAAAAATCATTATAATACAAATCGTCGGTTTGTCATTCTTTTATTTCATTTTATTAAAGAACTCATCATGAGGATTCCGGTATGAATATGTTAGTGAGGAGGAATACTTTTAATATCGTCTACGAAAGAGAAATGAAAAAACGACATTCGATGAAATAAAATAATGACAAACCTGACGAATTATATTAGAATGATACATTTTAGGAAATTTTATGAAGTGGTGTAATGTTTGCAAACGTTGAATAAATAATACATGACGTGAAAACTATGTACATATGGTGACCTTTGGCCAAATATTTTACAAAAAACTTTTAAAAAATGGCACCTAACCTAAAAGATATGACTAGAAAATTATTTTAAACTATTTTACCAAATTGAATATTAAAGATGACCAAATTAGCTAGCCCGAAGTGTTGCCTGATGTATTAAAAAATGAAGAAATAAAAAAGGAAGTTTTAACAAAATATTTCTATGTATCTAGATCTATAAATATTTATATAAAGAATTTGTAATTTTTACAAAAGTAATTATATTTTATTAATTTTTGCTATTAAGGAACCCTATTTTTCCCACCAGTTTTATGTTGATTTTAAATAAGATATATTAGTACTAATACATTTAAAAAAAAGTTATTAAAGAAAGGAGAGTTGGGACTCACCATCGTAAAAGAATTTAACCTCAGGCGGTAGAGGCTCGTACGGTGCAGCGAAGACTGGTCCCTTGTGCTCCAGGAATGTCCACTTCACTCCGTCTGGTCTTTTCTCTTCCTCCCACCTAGATCATCATTACTTATAAAATTCAGTTACAATATATAAAATATATGACAGAAGAATCAAAATGGAATATATCCTCAGTCTCAATGTGATTAAAAAACCACATTAAGTAAAAAATATCTGGTGCACGCATCACACGACTTTCACTTACCATCCTTATCCTTATTTTCAGACAAAGCGGAAGATACAAGTAAAAATTATAGACACAATATTTATTTGCATTTTATTGTGGATATTTTTATTTGTATAACTAGGATAGCATTTAAGAAAACGACATATGTATATATACATAATATTTTCAAAGTCTGTATTATATTATATTATTTGGACTCAGGGGACCTCAAAACGAGTATTTCGAAAATTTTCACCATCACAATACGTTCCTCCCTTGCTATATATTACATATACAGGTAAGTGAAAGTAAAAAAGTATGAATTTGGTTCATTTTATTTATTCATAAATTTTACCAACACTATTGATTAATTATTATTCTTGGTAATAGATCACAATGACATTGCAGTCATGAGAAGTAAACAAAAATAAATTATACTTATTTATCTCTCTATAATATAAAAAAGTTTTTATCGACTTTCAAATTTTATTTTAGTATTAGGAAAGTAGAAGATAAGAGGAGCTCAACTTATTAGGCGATTAGTTTACAAATTATACAGCTAATTTAATTATATATGTGTTAAGTTCCTGTTACTTCCTTCACTCGTAATACAAAACAGAGATTTTAGATTACAAATTTGTATGGAAAATGGTATCCATTTGGAGGTGGTAATTTGATTTTACCTAGGTGACAGCAGTTATTTTTTGATCTAGACATTTCCTCTTGAATACAATATATATATTAATTATTATATCATATATAATTTATATTATATTCTGATATAATTATAATTATTATGAAATAGAAAAGTAAGCACATTATAACGTACAATGGAAATATTAGAAATATAAGGCTCAAATTATTTCTGAGATTAGATGAAGCTGGACAAGTTTAATATATATTATGGCTACAAATTGGCAATAAGGTGCGATGTACAATATAGATTTTTAAAGAAATTAAAAATTTGTCCGAATTGACAATGGAATTACCGAAGGAATTGAAAATTTGTCCTTGGTTTCATTCAGTTTATTTTATATTTATAAAAAATAATACAACCTGAATTTACAGAATACATGTAAATTAAAGTTATAAAATTTCAGTAAGGAGTAGTAAGATTAAATGAACAGTTATATAATTGGTAAAATAGGGGTTGGTCGGCCATCAAGTGGACAAGAGGTAACGCTCTTGTTTATATTGAAATTATAAAGAAAAAGTATAATTTATTTCTGAGTACTTCCAATGACTGCAATCCCCAAACGACTTCTCATTTATAAATATATAATTTATAGGAACATTATCTTAAATAATGTATCTAAAGTTTCAATTATGTATAAAATATTAATTGAATAAAAAAAACAACTAATATGTTAACTCAGGAAAGAACTAACTATAAATAAAACATCTATTTACAAATCTGAGAACCAAATAAAGTTAATAGAAAACTATAATAAACAATTAATTTTTTTTTTATGCTACCAGCAAAAAAAAAAGCAATATTTCTCTCTAGTTTTAAATTACATATGCATCTAGTTCTGTGTTTCAATTGATTTACCATTTCCAAACTTCTTGTTCCTCTTCCTGTTTTTTCTTTTTCCTAGGACTAGTTTCTTCCTGGACTTCCGTCTTTACTTTGGTTTTTTTTGTAACAGAAGATTTTTTCTTTGCCTAAAATAAAAAAGCAAAAAAAAAAAAAATAATAAAATTGAAAAATACGATAACTAACTAAATATTCTTTTAATCATTTTATGAAATTTGTCTGTAACTTTTATAATAGTTAAATATCTTCAAGAGACAACATTCATCTTGAATAATAATTGGTTGCTTATGAGAAAAAGAAATTGTACTTATGATACAGTAGAAAGGAGAAGGACCTTACAACGGTGAATATATTTTTGATGATTGGAAAACATTTTCTGAAACTTTAAATAAGCGTAAAGGAATGTGATAAATAAGAAAAATCTGGTGTGGTGCGCGCATCACACAACTTTCAATTACCACCCTCTTCTTAGCAAAAATAAGTATTTTCAGACAAAGGAGAAGTGAAAGTAAAAACTATAAACACTATATTGATTTATATTTCATTGTGGATATTTTTATTTGTTGAAATACCCCTATATATTTACAAATTTTGATTTTTAAATCTGTGTAATCTATACAATTAAATATTAAATATATATATATATATATATTAAATATGATGGCTTTTATAAAACTGCATATGTATATGTACATAATATTGTCAGAGTCTGTATTATATTAAGCTCATGTTACGTATGGAAGACTTCTAATCTTCTGGGCGAGCTCGGATTCCTTTGGTTCCTACATTACAATCACATATTTCTCCTTTAGTTAATTATAAAATTCTTTCATATTTTATATTTAACTGTTTTTTATATTAGAGATCAATGTGAGATGGTTAATTATTTCAAAGAAAAAAATTAAAGGTACTTTAGAGGAAGCTAATATTGAAAAATAGCTATTTAAGACTGTTAGAGAACATTAATGAGAATAAAACCTACATTATTTTAAAAACTGCATAATTTTATACTCATATAATGAATTTGTTAAAGCCGTTTTCAAGAAAATCGATAAAATGTGATAAATCGATTATTAAATGTGCGACTAGGGCCGATTTTGATGAAAAAGTTGCTGTAACATCTCAGATACATAAAAACCTTAAATATGCAATTTCACTTTCATACGACTTTTCGTTTTTTAGATAGGCTGTTAACACAAAGAGACCATCTTGTGAGACTTGGTTATTTGGACTCAGCGGAGCTCAAAACGTGTATTTCCATTGAAAATTGAGATTTAAAAATGTTCATGATCACAATACTTTCCTTTGTTACATATTTCATATATAGGTAAGTGAAAGTAAAAAGACAGCATTTATAATGAGAAACATGGAGTCACCTCCCATGATCCTTATTCACATATTTATTTAAAATAATTAAAAATAATTTAATTTTTTAACTTCAATTTTACTATAAAAGGGGCATGATCCCTCATCCGATCATCTTGAAAACGAAAATGGAGGGGGAGGCCATAATATGGACCTAGCTTGTTAGTACAACTTTTAATAATTATAATAGTAACAAAATAATGCCAGATTTTGGACCTAACTGGGAAAAAAGATACTTATGATCATAATTCATTTAATAAAAAAAATTATTACTCACAGGTTTAAAATCATCATCTTCTTCTTCATCTTCAGATTCTTTTTTCCTTTTCGCTGTCTTTTCTTTTTTAATTTTTTTTCTAGCACTCAAAGGAATATCTTCTTCCTCGTCTTCTGATTTAATTTCTCTCTTGATAATTGAGGCTCGAGAAGACTAAAATGGATAAATACAATTCAATAATGGTTAACTTAATTTTTAAAAAACCAAAAACCATGGTTAGACAAAAAAAAAATTGGTTATATAAAAAAGAACTCACTAAAGGAGCATCATCCTCAGAATCCTCTTGTGGTTCTTCCGCCTCATCTTCATCTTCCTCCTCTTTTATAGTGAGGTTATTAAAACTAGAGTTCTGATCCTCGCTTAAGTAACTATCATCGATCGGCTCTTCTTTGATGTCTTCTGGTTCAGATTTAACCGCAACAGACTCTTCTTCTGACACTTTACTCTGCTATTTAAAAAATATACATATATAGATTAATGAAATGATAAGAACAAATACATTGATTGACTTGTTAGTAGATATTGGAAAATTGAAAAATTACCTGAAAATCATCAGACTCTTCAAATTCATCTCTCTTTGGTTTGGCTGAAACAATAAAATATTAATGTTGAATCTTACTGGAATAATAATAATATGTAACTATAATATAACCAAGAGTAGATGTTCGAATCACTTCTTAACAGCAATTACCTTCTTTGCTTCTTTCTTTATCCTTCTTCTCCCTCTCCTTATCTTTATCTTTGCTGCTGCTGCTGCTGCTGTGTTTTCTATCCCCATTATGCTTAGACCTATCTTTATCTTTTTCACGATGTTTATCTCTGTCAGACCTGTCTTTATCTTTGCTAGAGCTCTTTTCTTTGTCTTTATCTTTATCCTTAGATGACGAGTGTGATCTATCCTTGTCTTTCGAGGAAGATGAATTAGACGAACTATGTTTGCTAAACAAAGGAAAACAAATATTACATCACCATCAATGTTAACTACGACAAAGTAAAAGATATTTAAAACTGTTAACATAAATATAAGTACCTACTCTACAGCGAGGACAAAAACAAATAAGAGCTATACACACATGTGTAATAAAAGATGCTTCACACTAAATTCACTGTACACCAAAAAATAGTTTAAAAAAATGTGACAAATATTTGATTTTTGACAAATGGTGCCACATCAAAAAAAGAAAGTAAAGATAAAGATTGCTCTGATGATGGGAAAATTGTCCCGAAACGTAAGAGACAACAAATATTATTGAAACAAATTTGAAGAACATTGGAAGTTTTATTGCCTTAAATATGAAAAAATAAAATAAAAATTAGAAAAATATAGATTTTTTTTTTTTTTTTAATCAATATATACTTTGAAGAGAAGGATGGTTGGGTTGAACAGTCAAAATAAAAAACAAATAATAATATTTATTTTTATATTTGCCAACGTTTCAGCCCAAAGTTCAGGCCTTTGTCAGGGCTGTTCAATCCAAAAGCGTGGAAAGACCTATGACCTACCAGAGCGTGATCTTTCTCACTCCTCAAAAGGTTCAAGATGGAAGGTTCCCTAGCAACTTTTCAAGTAAAGATTTTAGAGAACTTTTATTTAAAAGTTATCAATTTCACTAAAAAGTCAATCTAAAAAATGACTTTTATCTTTAGTTCCTCAACCAAAAGACACAGAATCATGTGTAATTCATTTAAGAAGAATTATAACTTTAATTATAACAATAAGCCCAATTGCAATTTAATTTTCATTGAATTAAACTTTATTCAAGAACTTTAATAAATACAAGTTAAACTTTCACTATAAACCTGGAACTTTATTGCAAAAAAGTACTTTAAAACTTTTAATTTAAAAACTTTTTTCCTAAAAAGTTTCACGGGTACTGTTAAAATGGGACTTTTTAAAAAACTTCATAAAAGTTTCAACTCCTGATTTAAACTATTTTTAATTCATGAAAAAATAAAGTTTTTGTCGTTTGAAAGTACCGTTTTGGTGTCTTAAATAAAAATCTGAAAGAAGCCTAAAAATCTTGCCTCATTTCTAAAAACTAGCTCCACATAAGTTATAACTAATGGAAAATACAACAAAAAGTTATAGGATTAAAGTTGTAAACCATATTGATGGCGAAAGGCCTATTAAGTTTGAAAGCTGTATGTGTCCATTAAATGTAGAAAAAGTAAAAATTTCAAGACAAAAAATATAAGGATGAAAGTAAGACGGACCAAAATTGTAGATTTACAAAAATTGGTAGCTGGTGCTGTCATAATATACCTTCAAAAATAGTTCTATTTTCAGTTTTAAATAAAAGTTTTAAAAGTTGGGTCTACCTTTTGTTTTGTTTTTTCGAAGTCAAACATTTAATATTTTACTTTTTTTGAGATGGAGAAATAGTTGACTGTTAAAATTATAAAGATGACAAATAACCAGTATTTGCAGCCATTTATGTTGTTTGTTAGATTTACCGATATTTCATCCCAAGCATGTGGGTCATCAGGGCAATGATAAATGGCTACTAAAAACTAAACAATAATCTTTTGTTCGAGTTGTTGTCTAGCAAAGGGATCTCCGATCTAGACGGTTAACATGACCGTTATCGGCAATCACTTTGGCAACAGTTTTACCGCAGATCGACAAGTTTTCTATAAAATCTTGAATATTTATTTAAAATAAATATCTAATTAATATGAAAATAGTGATTTATTTTGTATTTTTTCTAATCATTATTATTGTTTTACGTGGCATGCCGCAGATAGACATTTTGATTAATATTTTTCTTGGGCAGTAAAAAAAAAAAAATGGCACTGTTGGTAACACAGCATTAAACTTATATCTTAACTAGTTGTAACCCACATCGTTAATAATTAATTTTTAATTATAATTTCAAAATGTGTTGATCTAATATAACAAGACTATATAAAATTAATAATATTCATTAAACTTGGTGTTTTCGCCTTTCCTGTATTAAAATATTTCATTAGTTTTAAAAAACATAAAAATGTCTGTTGACTATACAATATATTTATTTTTATTGACGCCCTTTACATTTTATTTTTGAATATTACAAACAATAACCCACATGTAATTTATGTTGAATAAAAACATGGTGCCCACCATCTAGGACACAACCTATAAATATGCCCACAGGTAAAAAAAGATTGGGAACCACTGGCCTAGTCAATAACCGTTGCCCTGAAGATTACACATGCTTGTGTGGAGATGTTGGCAAACCTATCAAACAACATGTCTGCATATCCTTATTATTTGACATACTTAATTTACTTTTTGGAATTTTCCTCGTAGCTTACAAGTTTAAAGTATCATGTTTGTCAATTTTCCAATTCATAGTCCAACTAGTAAGTAGGCAGGAATTTGAAAAGATAAGAGCAATTGAAGGAGACAAACTGACTGACTTGTTAAGAGTGTGTGAATAAGTCTTATGAAAAATATTCAATATTACTTACAAAATATTCTAATTTACGCATATGCTGGTAAATATTTCATAAGAAATGTTAGGGAAAAAAACAGTTACAGAAAAAACATTATGTTAGTTTCAACTTAAGAGCTGCAAGAGTTTGCTTTCAGGCTAATAGTTGGACAAAAATTAATCAGAATTCAATCTTCTTAATTGTGCTTTGAATGTTATATTAAAAATTGTTTCTGATTTTTTCATTTCACGAAAAAAAACCATGATATAGCTTTTCCTAATACCACTATTTAAAATAAATAAAGACTAGTAGTTCATGATAAGAAATGAAAATTCTTGTTAAAAATGATTGATAAACTTTATAAAACACAATTTCACAAAGATGTTGTTTGGTTCCTTATTGCATATTTGGGTTCTATTTCAGTTATTCAATTTGTTTAGTTGGTAGTTAGATGATTTTCTGAAGTTTGTTCCACCAATTTAAAAATTAAAAAAATACTTTAATTTTTTTCAATTACACAACATGATTAATCACCGAGTAACATTAAGAATTTTTTAAAAATAGTTTATGATTTAATTATTGAATTTTAAAATGCTTCAAAGTAAGTAGTACATATAAGAAAAGAATTTAGGTATGTAGTTTGAATTTTTAATAATAGTTAAAAATCATTTAATCAACTAAATATCCCTTAATTTGGTTGGTAGTGAAATTAAACAACACACTAAGTAATTGTAGAAATATTGTTAGTATAATCATATATTAATGCTAATTAATTTTAATTTAATTTTTAAAATAATAGCAATACACCTTGAAAAATAAAGATATTCCATTCCAGATCAGTATAGCTAAAATTATTTTAAAAAAAAAAAAAAAGAATGTTTATTTGGGCTTAACATATTGATGTGTAGAGCCTAGATTTTCATGGATTAAAAATCCTTAAAATATGCCATACAATATAAAACAAAAATTTAAAGTCTGTGCCCTAAAGGTAAATGACACCATAACCATTTTTCATTACATAATTTAGTAACTAAGAAACAAATTTTAATAGCATAAAGATATTGAAAATTGGCTCCCCAGAACAAATACTAGAATGTGAAATGGTGTTATTTATCTTCGGAGTACAGATTTAGTAACTAAGAAACAAATTTTAATAACTCAAAGTTACAGAAAATTGGCTACCATGAACAAATACGAAATAGACACGGTGTTCTTAACCTTTTAGGTACAGAATTATGCAACAATACAGTGTGGAATATACCAATGTACCGACAATAAGTTAACAACAAAGAAAGATTTCGTAAAGAATTTCAAATTAAAAAAAAATATCAAAAGCAAATATAAAAATTATTAAAACATAATGGGACAAACGGAAACTTATAATGTAATATCATCTAAAAATTTAAAAAACACAAATTAGCAATAAAAGAAAAAAGGGGTGTTTCTAAAATGGATGATCAATTGACAATTTACAATAATTTATATAAATTTCACCTTTTATTAAAATAAATTTAAATATGAAAAATGGAATTTGGCTTATAGCATTTAAGTATACAAATTTGTTAAGATTTTTGCCAGATGGTTAAAAAATTGCATGCAAACGAAACGTGCAATTCCCTGAAAAATCCTGTCACTGCTAATTTATTTCAAATAGAACACTAAAAATGAGCTATTAGATAAATTAACAATCTATTCTAGCCAACTTGTAGTACGATTATAGAATTTAATGAATTAAAACCTTAACATTATACATGAATACTATTTTTTAAAAGTAAGTCTGGAAAAAATAAATAGAACATGTGGAATACAACAGCTTACTCTTTGTCCTTATGTGACGAGGAACTGCTACGATGTTCTTTGTCTCTTTTTTCGTCACGATGGCGGTCTTTGTCTTTATCTCTGTGCTTTTCTTTGTCTTTGTCACGACTACTACTGTGACTGTCCTTAGACTAATGAAAATAAAGTAAAATCAATAAATTGAAAACTTAAGTTTTATTGCATTTCATCAAGTTACAATGGTAAACGTAATTACTTACCTTGTCCTTATGGCTACTAGAGGAGCTGTGTTTATGCTCACGGTCTTTATCCTTCTCTCTGTCTCTCTCTTTATCTCGATGCTTCTCTCTATCCCTGTCCTTATCCCTATGTTTATCTTTATGCCGATCTCTATGTTTATCGTCTCTATGTTCCTTTTTCTTATGTTTTTCAGATAAACCATTAGATATTCCATTTACAGTTGGTGAACCTAATTAACAAATCAATATGATATTACAACTAAAAATGAAAAAAAGCTTAGATGTTAACATAAATTGTCCACATTCTGCATGCCACATGACTAATAGGGGAATCTTCAACTTCACATAACCATTAAAAATTAAAGGATGACATATGTTAAAATTGTTACAAAAGCAACTTAACAAAACGTTTATTATAACAAAAAGAAAAGATCTAAACTTAAATTACAAATATGAACCATGAACTATTACATAATTAAAGTAAAATCTCACCAATGAAAAAAAAATTGTTAACACATAATCATAAACAATGCATAGAAAGGGGTTATAAACATACATTTGGTAACTATAAACGAATTCCTAATAACTTTATAGCTTTTAGAAAAATTGCTTCAGGACAATGTGGAGTTAAAACTACAAAGGGAACATAAGATATACGCCAGACACCTACCTTCAGAATGGTTATAAGTAGTATTTCCACCCGAGTCATTGATCTAAACAAATTAAAAGAAATTAGCCATTACAGTAAAACGTAATTCTGAAAAGAAATTTAAAGTCGCCATATTGGACTTAGAATTTTCACAGCACATAGCACTAGAGTTGTAACATAATTCAGATAAATGGAATGTTGATGGATAGATATGAAGACAAGATATTGAAGAGTGTTCTACTTACAGAACCGTTGATACTATTTTCCAAGTATTCCGAATCCATAATGAACCACTAAAGGTGAAAGACACTACGGTAAGCAAACAGTTACTGTCCGCAACGAGTGGCCACAGTTCAGGGCAGGCGACAGGCCACGCTCAGAGGCTAAGTCCCATTTCACTACTGCGCATGCGCGTTCATTGCCCCCCCTCGGGGCTTTCAATAATTTCACATCCATTTTATTACTGCCTCAAATTACTAAATGAGCAACAGTCCGATCCACCAAAATCTTAGTCCATCAATTTATTAATTTAATAAGTATCCAGCACGGAATAAAAAAGTCACTTCTTTCAAGGTCTCTGTCTTCCATCTTAATGGCATCTAACTACTTTCTTATTTTATCTTAGTTCCTGACAAAGTGTGAGGTATAAAATAGCAAAGATATTAATCAACTTCCCTTTATGATTAAAACGTATCAATTTTAGAGAAAGAATTTAAACCTTTTTTTATTGAGTATTCATGACAACTTCATTTACTTAATATCATTATAATATTTAAATACTGAAAGAAACACCTGTTTCTCTTATAAAGAATTTATTCTACTCTATTATCACAAAATTACAATGAATAGCAAATTTATTGTAGCTATTAAAACTGAAAGAAATATCTGCCTAAATAACATTTTATAATTTAAAAATAATCCTCAATAATTAGAAATCATGCCAAAATGTTGCGACTTCCAGGACTTACGTAGTACATTTCAGATTAATAAAAAGTAGGTTCAATGCTATACCTAAGGGTCGGAGATGGCGTCTGAACCCTACATCTATATTTCTTTTAATCAGACTAGATCTTAATTTTTTTTTTTTTTTTTTTTTTTTTGTATGTCTATTTAATTGTTTAGGGTCATAAAAATATATTCATCATATAGGCCCACTGGCTAAGGGTGGCCTACAACTTTTTTGGGGTGAGGGCTCAAAAAATATAGCATGGATCCCAAATGACCTAGGCCAATAGTGGAACCAAGATTTAACTTTTTTGGGAGAGTTTCAGCCCAGAGCTTTATCTCGAGCGTAATAATCCTGCAGTTTATCGCCCTATTCTACCTTATCCTTCAGAAAGATATTTTTTTTTTAAATATATACATTGATAATTACTTTGAAAAAAAAAAGACACTAACTACCTATATATAATGATTCTTGAAGACTACAAAAAAAAAAATAATAATAATAATTTAGTAATAATTGGTAATTGATTGACTGTCGTGGATAATGAAGAGAAGAATAGTTGGGGTGCTCAGTCAGAAAGGAAGGCAAAAAATAAATTATAATATTTATTTTTTACATATGCCGACGTTTCGACCTGAAGTTCAGGCCTTCATCAGGGCTTTCTCCTTAAGTGTCAAGGGGAGAATGGATAACTGATTCTCTCCAACTGATTCTCCCCTTGACACTTAAGGAGAAAGCCCTGATGAAGGCCTGAACTTCAGGTCGAAACGTCGGCATATGTAAAAAATAAATATTATAATTTATTTTTTGCCTTCCTTTTTGACTGAGCACCCCAACTATTCTTCTCTTCAATAATTTAGTAACTACGCGAACAATAATATTTTTATTAATATTTTTTTCAAATTACATGATTATATTTAGTAGCTGTATATGGATTATAATTTATAATATATAACATATTTTGATTGTTTCAAGTATTTAGCTTATATCACATAGTAACAAATATGGACCATTGAAAAAAAATAATTTTTCCATTTTGGGAGACTTCATCCCGAAGATCGGACAGTGCCCTTAGACCAAACGTTTTGTTATACTGAGACAATGTTATCGATGAAAACTAAAATTTCTGATATTTCAGTTAAGAATAATAATTCTGATAAAAGAATCTGACGAAAAATATGTTGCCAATATTGCCACATCCATAGTTACGTACAGATCTGAGGAGGAGGGGGGGGGGAAGCTTGCATCCACGGGACCACAACTCCAATGGGGGCCCCTCCAGTTTTATTCTTCAACTTTGAAATTTACTTTAAAATAAAACATAGCTAAAATTATATTTATTTTATAATAATTATGCAATATCTTCACATAATGCTTTTTTTACATGTACATATTATAAAAGAAGAGGTTGGATTTTAGTTTTAACTTGAATTGGGTCCCGTAATATTTAATGACGCAGCAATGCGCTCGAATTGAATCCCGGGTGTTCTTACCAAGAGCTCGAATTCGGTAAAGCCATTGAGGAGATCAAAACTCTCGATCATTTGTAGATAGCATTTTCACCCAAATATTTCTCTATATTAAATTCAATATAGGGAGCCTTGTATGTTTATTGGTGGATATAACGTAAAAGAAACATTTTTTTTAAAGTAGTCTACACAAGAAAAAACTGAAGAAAAAATTTGAAGACAGAAAGTTTATTTTATCGCTAACACTAGCGATTTTGATCGATTTCATTTCCTTCTGAAACAAGTATCATTTAAATTTCTTTCCACAACATTAAGTTAGCTTAGAATATTGTAATTGTAAAATTGTATAAATACATTCTGTATTAATGACTGCTCTTTTCTCTAATCTTCCATTGCCTTGTTTGACTATAATAACAATAATAATTTCATTTACGTTTTGATATAACGATTATCTTTCATTGAGGCGAAGTAAAGTGGATGTGACTAGTATCATACCTGTACCATTGTGGGAGGAATTATTATTGTGACTAAATTATTGCTATTTATAATTAAAATTCAGTTGGTCCTTGTTTAAGTTGGAACTCGGTTTATTTTGCTCAATCGGCCTTCCTGGTAACGCTGAGATACCTGAACATCCCTGTGTACCTGGAAAGGTTCGGGACGCAATTCAAGTTCTCTAATAAAATATACAGCTCTCCATATTATACACCGGCACAGGCTTTCGGGCGGAACCAAAATGGTAAAATCTTCCCCCAAAATGGTAAAATGTAACCATGTTTTATGGTAAAAATTATGGTTATAATTATTATTGAATATTTAATAATTGACCGCTGCATTATAAAGGAAGGAGATGGTCCGGGGTGGAGGTCATAAATAGGCTAAATAGTGGTAAAACTATTTTTATTAAAAACCGACGTTTCGACCCGGCTTTGCAGGTCCTCTTTAGGACTAGAACGGACAAGATACAGAATTGTGGCAGTTACATAATATTTAAACAAAATTTATAAACAATGTGAATAAGCTTATTGAAATTATAAACAGTAAGTACATTAAAATATGAACAAAGTAAGCTAAGTAATACGATCCTAAAATGAAGTGAATAGATGTTAATAATTGTTGTAGTGTAATATATAATAAATGTAATATTATATCCTTTTTCCCTTTTCTTTCAATCTCTCCTGTAGATCTGTAGAAGTATATTCACATTTACATTTATTTTATATCACACTACAACAATTGTTAACATCTATTTACTTCATTTTAGGATCTTGTTACTTAGCTTACTTTGTTCATATTTTAATCTACTTACGTATATTTATGAATATCCTTATGTTTAAACGTCATACTTTTAATTATCAGGTTTTTCGAGATGGCAAAGTTTATCAGACGGATCCCATTATCATTACTATATTCCTGCAAACTTTCTTTACCAATCGTCGGAATATAAACTTCTTCCCTTCCTACCTTTGCGTTCGCGTCACCTACAATTATTTTCATGTAGTTTCGCGGTAGTTTATCATAAACCCATTCGAGTTTATCGTAAAATTCACTTTTGACTTCATCCTATATATATATATATATATATATATATATATATATATATATATATATATATATATATATATATATATATATATATATATATATATGTATATATATATATAAATATATATAAATATATATATATATATATATAAATATATATATATATAAATCTTCCGGGCTAAAGCCCTCCAAAATAAAATCCTGGATCCTCTAGTGTACACTGAGGCCAATTCGAGTTCTCCAAAATACACATAGGAACTCAATTAGAGCTCTTTTTGGATTTTGGGACCCAACTCCAGCAATCCCGAAAATTCTCTCGGCGTTAATAAGGGAACCCCACGACAGGGGTGTTCAGAAGGGAGTTTGATTGTCCAACTTGTGCCATCAAAACTTTTGAGGGGGCCATATTTTTGCGGGTATTTGAATTTTTGAGGGGAGGGGGACATTTCGGTGAGGATATGAATTTTCAGAATGAAAAGTTCCATATCAAGAGACAAAAGGAAATATGGTACAGACCGCAATAAGTATAATTTATACGATTTTTCTAATTATACCATCGCTTGCTCTGTTTTTAAGAAAAGGTGAGTAATAAAATATCTTGGGAGGAGGGGGAATAGGTTCCAGCGTCATCGACCTTGGGGTGGGCACCTCTACCCCACAGTACATGTATTTATATTTATATATATATACATATATTTAATCAGACGAGAAATAATTATACTTTTAATTATCATTACTTTCTAATAATTGTTTTAGATAGTGAGGCTCAACGATAGGCGTATAATATTTTTTTAATTACATGATAACTTTATCTGTAAATAAATGCAATTTTTTTTTATCAATCAGAAGAGAACGTTATTTACTATTTTTATTTGTAGGCCAGAAATAATTCCACTCCGGGCCCAAAAATAATTCCGCCCACAATGGTCCAGGTACGATACTAGTCAGATCCACAATAGAAGATTATCGTTATACAAAACCGAAATGAAAGTCATTATATGAAAGACCTTCTTGGGTTCAATATTTAGCAGTAGCGGATCCAGGATTTAATTTTAGGCTCAGTTTTTTATTAAACTAAACTAGGGAGAGAATCACTTTATTATCATAAAATGGTGCTGCCCAATTACATTGGGTTGCTAAAAACACAGCATACTTATTAATCATTACAGATAATTTTTAAAATAATATATAATTATACAGGATTAACAATATTTATAAGCATAGTATTCAATTTATACATGTGTAACAAGCGATTGGTGGTGTCGGCATCGAACCATCGGGTTCGCTAAGCCTTATTGTATATATATGTATATATATATATATATATATATATATATATATATATATTATTATTATTATTTTATTTGTCAACACTTTTACAAAAGGTTTTTTTTTGTTTACTTGAGAGGGGGAGAATCAACTCCAACCACCTCAGGTATGTGCAATTTTAATTTCTATTGGATGTTGAGAAAGCTTCTTACAATTTTGGCAGTATTCAGCAGCACCGCTTTCTGAGCTTCCTTTATTACATGAGTTGGGAGGCCCAGCCTGTCAGTAGCTTCCACAGTAGACACAGGTATCAGGCCATTGCTGGAGATCACAATGCCCCTAACGGTTACTTTATTAAGTTTATACAAACTTTTTAACTCAGCTGCTAGACCTTGATATTTCCGATTTTTTTCTGCACAGACTGAGTTAATGTTTCCGTCATTTGGCACAGCAATATCTATAATTTCAGCCACCTTACTATTGCCGTCAATTAACACAATATCAGGTCTGTTGTGGATCACGAGATGGTCT